AAATAAAAAGAGTTTAAGTAATAAAGTACATAAAGAGATGTTTTATGAAGCAATGCTTTCCAGTGGCAGCCATTCATTGTGCTGCTTTAAAAGGGGATATGGTTCAGAAAAAAACATAAGATAATGTTTCCTGTGTTCTTCTGAGCTGAAACACTGAATGTTTCATGGAGGGTCAATGACAGAAGACCAGCCTAAGTTAGGAGCGAAGAGAAAGGTGAAATATTTTTCTTCTACTATCATTAATTTATTTAAAAGCTTATTTTTATATACATATATTGTATACCCAGCAAAATTTATCCTTTTTAGGGTAAGTAGTATTATGCAAGCTCAAAACAAGAACAAGCAAAAGTAATTAAAGACAGATGAAAAAAAGAAAGAAAGAAAGAAAGAAAGAAAGAAGGAAGGAAGGAAGGAAGGAAGGAAGGAAGGAAGGAAGGAAGGAAGGAAGGAAGGAAGGAAGGAACTCCATAATTTTCTATCCCTGTAAAGAATCCTTGCTTCCATCACTTCCATATTCAGCTTTATTCAGGCCTTTTGTTCGTTACACTTTTCACTTCTCTCTTTTTGAACGCCACCAAATTCATCACATTCTAACTTATTCAGTCTTCTCCTTTCACCCTTTCTTCATGTGTTTGTTTTGCTGTTAGAGCCTTTAAGTGTTTGTATCCACTATTTATTGAAATGACTTGGAACTCAGATGATGGCATATATCAGATTTGAGGAAGATTATATGAAAGTGCATCTAAACCTCTATGTGAAGCTGTTGGGATGTGGTGGTGTTGGTGAAAATATGGGGGGAATGCAGGCAATCCAGGTAGCTCACAAAAACTTATTCTTTTCCATAAAACGTGTTAATCTGAAAAGCTACAGCCAGGCTCCTCCTCATTTTTGGTTATTGTATGTAGACTAACAAAGCTGTCCTTCTACAGTGTCATTTAACACCAAAGTACATGGAATTAATGATGTAGCATAAAAATTGCAGTTTAAAAACATCACAAGCTTAGTAGGGTAGATAAGAGAGGGAGGTGGGATATGGACAATGCACTGCATGATGCAACTTAGAGCAAAAGTATTTGGATATATTGCATTGAATTAGATATGCTGCTGACATAAGACTGTATTATGACACCTTCTTGTATTAACTCCTCTGTTCTGTTCTCTTCTGGAAAATGGTAATAATTTTTAAAAATATTGCTGTTGTACATATATTCAAGGTTATGCATATCCTAGTCTATATATGTCCTGGTTGTCTTTCAGTTATTGCCACTTAAAATATTTTTCTGCACTACTTGTGTTTAAATCTCTCTACATTTATTAATAAGACTGGAGATTCAGCTGGAGAACTTCTAAAAAAGCTGTCAATCTTTGATGACCATACACAATCTCACACGGGAAAAAAAACCATCTTCCATGTTTTGATACAACACTCATGGAAGAACATTTTTTGCATTCGTCACAATGCAGCAGGCAGAGAAATTACGATGCTTGAATGCTAATACTATTAATTTTATCACATTCACCCTAACCCATCTCTGCTTGAGGATTCATAAGTATATTTTCTGCTCTCCATATACTGATAACATTACTATGCTTTGCCTGACTTGCAAGATGCAAATACATGTCTTATATCATTTCAAACTGGCCAAATAATATTTTGAAAACATGCATGCAGAGTGACATGCATAAATCTTTATAAAATAAAACGAACAATAAAAATGATAAGCACACTCGGAAGGAGTTAAAGAGATATAATCTGTTGAGATACTTAGCCACTTTTCTGCATTTTCCTCAAACTAATTTTGAAGGCCTTCAAGTTACACCAGTTGGAAATAATACAGATTCCTTTGTATTGTTTTATAAAAGGACCATTAGACATAAGACACAAAGAATTAGTAACCTTCTCATTAACCTCTCAAAATGGAATACATTCCAAGCCAAGCTCTGAATACAACAAGAGTCTTCCTAGTTAATTGTTATCCTTATCAAAAAATGACCCACATTAACATTTTCCTTCTGGTAATCAGTGTCTCTTTTTCTTTGTGTGTGTTTGTATAAATACACACAGAAAGTGACCAGTACTGTTTTTGTTGGCCATACATGGAAAATGAAGAAGAAAATAAAAAAGAGTTTCTTTCCAGGAAACAAAAGTAATAAAAACACACAATAACCATTGCCTTGTATTGACAACTGCTTGCTCTATTTGTTGTTGTTGCTCTTAAAGACAATATGCTTGTGTCACTGAACTTTACTTGCCTTTGTAAACAGCATTATGTTTTTTTAACAGAAATCACTGGAGAGGTCTAGAAATCTAGAGAAATAACCATCTTCTTTTAGAACACTGAGATTAATGAGACTGATCAAAGCCTCTCCTCTAGTTCCTTGGGATATCATTTTTTGGGGGATGACATCATGGGAGACATTCTAATATTGTGATATATGAATGACTTCTGAAGGCATTGAATTTAGAATATGCTGCATAGCTTGGCACAAATTCAAAGTCCTTCTGAGCACACACAATGTGTGCCAAACGATGGGTAATGCAGTCAATTTAGCTCCTGACCTCACAATTGCCTACAAAAAGATATATGCATTAAATATCCAGGAAAAAGCTTTCCTTGGGCCACCAGACTTATTCTATATAAACATGTAGCTTATATATAGCTAACTTGCAAAAAAAAATAATTAAAAGATGCTCAAAGCAAGCTTAAATTTGCATTGATAAATATCCCAGCATTTTAGGCAACATGGTATTAGTAAGGGCCAAAAGGCTGTGGATAGTTTCCTTGGCTCCATACATCCCTGACTTTAATTAAAAAATAATTAACCTTTTAAAGGGCACTTTGATTTTGATGAATATCTTTGGATCCAAATAGGCTCTCACCGGCATTTAAGGGAATTAAAAACAATAGCCAGTGTTTTCTTTGGAACTACTGTATGTGCATCTGCCTCTCAATACAGCCAAGATAAACTGGGATGGCAACAAGTATCCTGAGGAGCAAGAACCAAGGGTGGAACAATTTCCCCCCAGTTTGCCTTCTGGCAAATAGGTGACCTGCGACTGGCAACGGGCCTCCTGGCAGGCATATTATGACTAGGCAAACCATTCCCCCATACAGCTATTTTTGTTTGGACACTCAGAATGTGCTTTTTAAAAATGAAGGATTTTTGACTTGACATCTGAACAGTCACAATGCATTTTTAATTAGAAATAACACAATAGCAGAATAACAAAGTTGGAAGGGACCTTGGAGGTCTTCTAGTCCAGCCTCCTGATCAAGCAGCAGAACCTATACCAATGGTGGCGAACCTATGGCACATGTGCCAGAGGCAGCACTCAGAGCTCTCTCTGTGGGCACGTGCACCATACCCTGGAGATGGCAACTGTCCCTCTTCAACCAGCTGCCTGCTAACTCGCTGAGGTCCCACGTAGCCAGATGCATCCCAGCATGGCTGGTTTCTCTTCCCCCCGTCCTATCCCTCCTGGCCTCGCATGCTCTCCTTTTCCCGGGCATGACCCACTGAATTGCCTCCTCAGCTGTCGGCCCGCCATCCAGCTTAGAGGCAGCTTCTCTGAACTGCTGGTGGTGAGCTGCGGAGCCCCAGAGTGCACCAGTCGAGGGAATGGCAGGCTGTGGCTGCTGATGGACACTGTTGGCTTGCTGGCCTCTGTGTGCAGGGGCCGATGGTGTCAGGCAGCAGCCACCCTGGCCGCTGCCTCGCATTGCCTTGTGACAATGGCACCCCCACCCTGCCTCGCCTTGCCTCGCCTCACCCCGCAGGACGAGCCTCCTGCCCACTGCCCCACCTGCCAGAGCCCCCCAGATCTCCCCCAACCTACCTGGCCCCCACAGGCGTCCCTCCCCACGAGCAACATCGAGGTGACCACACCCACCTTGGCCACACCCACCCAGTCTGCCATGACCACAGCCATGCCCACCCAGTGGGCCACACCCACCTGGCACCCGCCAATAAATAAGTGGGTTTTGGGTTGCAGTTTGGGCACTCAGTCTCTAAAAGGTTCACCATCACTGACCTATACCATTTCAGACAAATGATTATACAATCTTGTCTTAAAATTTCCAGTGTTGGAACATTCACAACTTCTGGAGGCAAGTTGTTCCATTGATTAATTGTTATGTCAGGAAATTTCTCCTTAGTTCTAGGTTGCTTCTCTCCTTGATTAGTTTCCATCCATTGCTCTTGTCCTGCCTTCAGGTGCTTTGGAGAATAGCTTGACTCCCTCTTCTTTGTGGCAGCCCCTGAGTTATTGAAACACTGCTATCCTGTCACCCTAGTCCTTCTCTTCATTAAACTAGACATACCCAATTCCTGCAACCATTCTTTATATGTTTTATGAAGCAATGTAATATATTTGTAAGAATCAAAATAGGTGGCAGTACCTAGCCAACCTGACTGACCTGAAAAACAAGGCAGGTATGGATAGGATATGGCTAGGTAAGCCAAGAGTTATAGATTAGACTGAAAAAAATATTTTGGAAGAAGTCAAGGACGATTACCTCCATGTCTGTGTGATTAGTAGCTTCCTAATATAATTTTATATTTCTAGGACTGGATAAACTGGACCAGCTCATTTTCTTTAACATGGGAGAACTGCATGTTCTTTGCTCCTCTAACCCCATTCCACTGACAGGTCAGGTCTACCATCTGGCATTAAGTCACCTATTGATTACATAGCAAAGTACTTGGCTCAGTATGGATTCCAAATTCAGTCCAATGGGCTGCCCACTCTCATACTCTCAGGTCTTCTCACATATTCAATGGTGGTAAAATTATTTAGATAACAAATATAGATGAACAGTAGGATTTTTTGGTTAATTAATTTAACACTGGAATAGTGGAACAGAATGCTTTCTTAGTAGTTTTCCATTTCTCATTCTGAAAGTGAATAGAAAGCCCATTAATTCATGCTTGAAGTCAAACCTATAATTTTTATTAAAGGCTGCCACTATATAACTTAATATCTATGAAATGCTCCTTACCTATGAATATCCGTGTAGAATAGTTACCACAACATTGATACTCTGGTTCCGCTCTGCACCTCTGACCTCCACAACAAGCACTTGATGCATTCAGAAGAAATGAAAGATGCTTGTCCTCACAGCATTGGAAATTTGAAGTATTGTACTGATTCCCATTGCGACATATCTAAATATAGATATAGGTTAAAGCATAAAGCATTTCCCAATGGAACAATATCAACAGCACATACATATAACCACAAATCCATTAAAACTGAACTCTTATTCAGTACTGATGATATTATGTATTTTAGATAATGAAACGTCTGCAAGAAAACAGCCAACCTCAGAGAGCACCAAGGACCCCCGAATTCTTATTGTTTAGCAGAAATCTAACAAAGAAACTGATCAAGTTATCAATAAAATATACAGATAATTTACCTAGCTATAAAATCAAATTGAATTTATCGAAATTTACAATAAACTTTGGATAAAGCACTATGAATAAACTTATGGCTAAGAAGCATAATCTCACAAATACATCAATGATAAGTTTAAATGTGCGCATTTGCTACCTATTTAAGGCAGATTGTTTTCCAAAATTCAGCAGAGAATGTGATTCTTTTTTATAGTCACAAACAGCAGCAACCATACAAGCCCAGGTTTTATAGAATAGAAAAGAGAAAGGAAAAGAAAAATAACTGGCTGATTGAAACGCCAAGGACAACCATGCTCTTGTCTAACTCCTGAATGTGACTTGCCAGGGGGATCATGTGGAGGTAGAGACATGCAAGGCTATTTGTAGGTTGGGAGATGTTACAATCTGAAAGCAGTTTGGTCAGATATATGTCTGAGATTGCTCTGCCATTTCACTAGGAAATATATGATCATCTATTTAATGTATTGTTAAAAGCAATGGGTGGAAACTAATCAAGGAGAGAAGCAACCTAGAACTAAGGAGAAACTTCCTGACAGTGAGAACAATTAACCAGTGGAACACCCTGCCTCCAGAAGCGGTGAATGCTCCAACACTGGAGGCTTTTAAGAAGAGACTGGACTGCCATTTGTCCGAAATGGTATAGGGTCTCCTGCCTCCAAGGTCCCTTCCAACTTTACTATTATTATTATTATTATTATTATTATTATTATTATTATTATTATTATTATTATTATTATTATTATTATTATTATTATTATTATTATTAAAAGAATTGGGTCTTGAGCAGATTTTTATAAATATGAAACTTCTCCCAGAAGAGTTTAAGCTTCGGTGCAATGGCAAAATCTTTACACTATTCTTTCCCATTTTTTATGCATCAAAAAAAGAGGCATCTGAACAATCTATACCTCAAAAAGGAAAGGTTCCCCCACCCCCATTATATTCACTCTTATGGCTTCTTATAATAATATGATTTATTTTCCTCATGTGGCATATGTAACTTTTTAACCATAATTCTTTAGACAAAGTTATTTTAAATCTGTAATATAAAATAAAGCAATTTAAAAAAACAACAACTTAGTAGTGACAAGAAAATGATTGTCATGAAGACTGGGGACCCTCCAGAAGATATTTATAAAAGATTGCAGTAACAAGGAGACTTCTCTGAAGAGAACACTTTCCACAAATGTGAAATCATATTTGTAAGATGCTAATTAGTTGTCTACTAGTTTTGGCTGAGCCAGATGTATATACAGTATTTAAAAATACTTGTTAATGAATTTTGATTAATTTTCTTCATCTTGTATATTTCTAAACGTTCTTGATTTTGTTAATTTCATAAAAATATTATAACTACAGGTAGTTTTACAGGTAGTCCTCATTTACGAACTGCCTTGCTTAGTGACTGCAGTTATGATGGTGATGTAAAGGAACTTTATGACAAATCCTTACATTTACAACCTTCACAGACCTGTAAAGCAAAGGAAAGTAAAATCCTAAATTCAGATTATTATTATTTTTTCAGCTAACGTTCTATGGAACCAGTTTTCCTAACTTGATAAAAAAATTGGC